AAAAATGTTTCCGCTCCTTTCTTTATAGAAATTAGGTACTCTGTTGGCTTGACAACAGGCACTTATTGCGTTTTTCATTTAAAAATTTAGCAATGTAAAAATGAAAACGGCATAATTTTAGGCTAATTCTATACCAACCTAAAAAAATTTCTGCTCCTTTATAAAAAGAATTAAGTACTCTGTTGGCTTAGCAACAGGCACGTATTGCGTGTTTCATTAAAAAATTTAGCAATGTAAAAATGATAACAGCATAATTTTAGGCTCATTTTAGGCTCAAATATCACCTCGCTGTGTGGCTTGATTTTGTTGATCGGCTTTGTTCTTCCAGTTTAATATAGTTCAGTGGTCACGACGTATAAACACGCCGTTTTGAAACACAACACATGGGTTCTTATGTGCGAACTCGACTTGTTATGTGTTGAATAGACAGAAACATTACACAAAAATCGCAGTCTGTCGAACGAAGATATGTGCCTCGGCATATGCTGTATTGAAAGATGATAATCACACTGTTGTTCACGTCGCTGTCAGTCTTTCAATTTTAATATGCCGGAATATTAATAAAAATGTACACAGATTCCGACAATGAGAGTGACTCTCCAAGTAATGCTTCAAAATGGTGCTTATTACAATCCCAAAGTGGGTATAGATCATAGACATCATTTATCCGATATCTTTGGTATAGATAGGAGCAGGTGGAAAGTGTAATCCAGTAAATACAACTGCTGGCAATGGCATACAATAACAAACTACTGCCTTATGGTATGGTGTTTGTTTGAGCTAGAAAGTGTTGCCTTGAGACAACTAGGTTCAGGCACCCACAAAATGTGCGCTGTTCGCTGCCGGCGATGTCCGATAGCCCAGTGATGGTGAGCAGCAACAGACAGCAATCTATGCAAGGGAAGTGCAACCAATTTTTGGTTTTTCTTATCTACTTTTTTGCCATTCGCATACCATGTTGTACCCGTAACGTAAAAAAGACTTTTTATTTTAGGGTATTTTATATTTAAGCAACTCCGAGATTGGTAGTATTTTCTGAGCACCGGCTTAAAGCGGCGTAAGAAAATAAATAGTAAATTAGCGCAGTAAACTTTTGACTGGCTCAAGCTTTTTTTTATAAGCTTAATCGACACGGCGTCCTGTGACTCCTGTGCAACACTTGGTCGCACCTGCTATGGAACTTCAGAAAATTCCCATGTGGTTTGTCATAAGATAAAATTAAAATTAACTAACTTTTTCTGGCTATCAAAGTAATTATTTAGGGGTGGTCAATGCACAGGAAAATAAAAAAGTTATCGCTTCCAAAAGAAAGTAAAAATAATATGATTTAATACCTACTTTCAATAACGATCTCCGGTGTGTCGGTACGGGAAATAACTCAGGAAAACTCTGAGGCGCACAAACCGGGCGGCAAAAGAGCGGTCAAAATTGATGGCAGCAAAAGATCAAATTAATCGATTATTAAAAAATAATCGATTAATCTAAAATAATCGATTAATATAAAATAATCGAGAATAATCGGTTAATAGATTAGTCGAATAATAATCACTCTAGCCCTAGCTATCTAGCCAACGTGATAAGATTAAAATAAAATGTTGAGGAACATTTTTTCTTTCAAATATTGTTTGGCAACGTCGCTATACTAATTTTTTCTTGTAAAATCCGAACAAATAAAAATATAAAGGGTTTTCCATTTAAAAATCTAAATTTTGAGGAAATTTCCAGTGAAATCTTGATTATTCATGAATTCATGACACAAAAAAAAGGAATTTGTACATGATTTATTTATATTAAATTTCACGAAAATTTGTTAATAAACGAAAAAGTTATACTCAAGCTTGGCCCACCTGTTTACCCGGTATATGTACTAATTGATATTACCGAAAATAATTAAAATGCAATCGTACAAATAAAAAGCACACTGGATGGGGATAATGATTTATACATGGTGTTTGTAAATAAGTACGAAATATTTTAGGGGGTGGTTGGCGAAGTTATTTTTGTAAATATCAAAACGGGAAAAAGTCAGAGGCGCGCCATTTTTTTATTAAAAACAAATGGGTCATTATATCGCACGAAGACCATTGGTGTAAGTAGAAATATTAGGACCACCTCAAAAAAAATGTACATTTATTCTTCCAAAGCGTTTTGCAAATTTCCATTCAATATATCTTTAACACTCTTTGAAATAATTAATTAAAAAAATTATATTTAAACACTCTGTATCTTGGAAATGAAACATATATTGACCTACGTTTATACGAACTTTTTTTAACAAAATAACTTAAAAAAAAAACTTAACAAGGAGCATTGACTAATTTTAAGACTAATTCATTGTTCAAGTCATAAAAAAGCAGGTATTTAATTGCAAATTTCATTTAGGTATCATAATAATGTTCCTTAATATACCTATGTTATTTATAATTTTCATATCGCGTGTTAGAGGAAATAATAATTTTAGGAGTGATGATAAGGGTAGCTATATATGAGTAGTTGGGATTGAGTACGAATGTTGTAAAGACAAGTCCTTTCTATCTCACATACCTAATAAATGTAATGGCGACCGCTGTCGAAGTACAGTGCAACCTCTTTAATCCGAACACCTAATTGTCAGACCTTGGTCGGATTATCGAATTGTTCGGATTAACGAATATACAATAAAACACCTCTTACACATTTTTAGACCTTTAGATCTATGTATGTATATTGATTTTTGTACATTTAAATGCATTATCAAACTACATATGTATGTATGTAAATGTAATGCAGGTATTTTCCTGTCAGTGTTCGGATTACAGAGGCGGCGTTCGGACTATCTCGCATCACGATTTGCGTTCGGATTAGCGTAATTCGGATTAGCGTGGGTTCGGATTATCGAGGTTGCACTGTAATTACTTTCATCTAAATGGAAAGTCATGTAGTCAATGTATTGAAAGTTAAATACAAAACTAATAATTAAACAGAAATTAATAATTTTTTCAAATATAAACAAAGGGCACGAGGATAGTTAGTAATAATTTGACTTGCCATGCATGACATATCCATTAAGGATAAGCTACGTAATTTTACCATATAAAGATTATATTTTAGATTTAAAAGGGCATTATTTATCCTTGTCCACCGCGACCTTTTCAGAACTATTGTGGGACATATAAAGATGGATGACACAGACTATTTAATTTCATTAGATGTATTAAATCTTAAAGATCTTAAAGAGCGTATTGGTCACTAAATTTAAAAAAAATATTTAAAAGGCGTTTTTGATTTATTGCAAATGGGTGGCACAAAACTGATCGAAAAACATTTGATCGAAAATACATTTTATCGAATGGCATTTGATAGAAAATACATTTGGTTGAATAAGATTTGATCGAAGATATATTTTATCGAATAACATTTTATCGAAATGACAATAGATCGAAAATTCAATAAATCGAAAGGACAATATATCGAAAATCAACATTAAAAATAGTAAAATATCAAAAAATCAAACGATACCATTTAACCGTACGTCTAATCCCTACTACCAGGCAAACTAAACTAAGCAGCTATCAAAATTAGATAATAATGGCAAATTTTTCAACAATCTCAAATGATAGCTACCTCGTTTAACAAATGTTATCCTTACAACAGCGTTAATTTAAAAATAATTATTTTAGAGCTAAACGGTTATTTATTTTCATTTGGATTAAAAAAATGTGATTAATTCGCACAAAATATGTATTTCAATAAGGTCGAGTTGTCTTCCGATGGGGCATTTTAGGTAAATTATTTTTTATATAAAAAATTTAATTAATTTACCTAACCTGTGCGACCTGGAGCCGTGGCGGTTTGCCTCGCAAAAAAATATAGAAAAATAAGAAAAATTCAAACAAAATTTTTAACTAATTTACCTAACCTGTGCGGCCTAGAGCCCTCGAGGGTTGCTTCGCAAAAAAAATTATACAAAAAAGGGAAAAATAAAAACTTACCTAATTTACCTAACCTGCGCTATTTAAATTTAACTGATTGCTCTCGCGTATGTTAGGTAAGTTAGTTTAATTATTTTTTATTACAACAATTTAAATAATTTATAGAAAAATAAGAAAACTGAAAACAAAAACTTTAACTTATTTAGCTAACCTGTGCAGCCTAGAGCCCTCGAGGGTGGCTTCGCAAAAAAATATATACAAAAAACGGAAAAATAAAGAAAACCTAACTTATTTACCTAACATGTACGGCCTGGAGCAATTTAACTGATTGCTCTGACACAGGTTAGATAAGTTAGTTAAGTTTTTAAAAAACCTAACTAACTTACCTAAGCTCTTCAGAACAATCAGTTAAATTGCCCCAGGCCACACAGGTTAGGTAAATTAGTTAGGTTTTCTTTATTTTTATAAAACTTAACTAACTTACCTAACCTGTATCAGAGCAATCAGTTAAATTGATCCAGTCTGAAAACGTCGCGGTTTGCCTCGCAAAAAAAATTATAAAAATAAAAAAATAATAATTTACCTAACCTGTGCTATTCAAATTTAACTGATTGCTCTCGCACAAGTTAGGTTAGTTTCTTAAGTTTATTTCGTTTTTTGTTTTTGCGAAGCAACCAGCGAGGATTCTAGGCCACACAGGTTAGGTAAATTAGTTAAAAAATTTTGTTTTCATTTTTCTTATTATTCTATAATTTTATGAATATTTGGTTTTTCAATTGCTTTTTCTATCACATGTATTTTCGATCAATTTTCTTTTCGATTATTATTCTTTTCGATCATTTTTCTGTTCGATCTTTTTCTTTTCGATCAATTGTTATTCGATCAAATGTTTTTTCGATCAAATGTATTCGATCGTTTTCGATCAATTTTGTGCCACCCATATCAAAATTCATCAATTAACGAGAGCTCTCTGGGGTAAAGCGTTTTCGGTCGAATATACTAACAGCACTAACACCCTGTAGATTTTATTAGTGCAAATAGGATTTTTATTTTGTATCAAGAGTGGTTTTAAATAAAAACTACAACTAATATAGAATAAAATTTCTTTATTTCTATCACAAAAATATGCATTTCTACAAAAAAATCTTAAACCTAAAAAAATGGTAGAATGGCTTCGACTTCTGACTTTTTTCTTCAATAATCACAGTAGGGTAAAATCACTACCAATTAAATAAATCAATATTTAAAACATATTTTGATTTAGACTATATAAAAGGGTTAAAAAATATAACCTAATAATTACATTTTCATTTTACAAGTATTCTATTTGAGGTGCGTAATCATTCACGCATTCGTTTATGTAGTCATTACACAAACAAAAAAAAAGGGTTCCAATATGAACAATATCGCAAATTACAACTGAGTAGAGTAGTAATAGGTGGTCTAATGTGATACAAATAAAGGGTGTTTTTGAAATACATGTTCGTATTAAAACTGATAGGAGCATATTATACTAATTTTACTGTGCAATTCTCAAACTACATTTTTTTAGAAATTTATTTACCTTATATTTCTGTTTAATTAACCATTATTAAATTGGGTAACTCCAATGTACAACATTTAAAAACGAATAATGATAAATTTTACAAGTAGTTCGAATATGCTAGTTTAAAAAATCATATTTCTGATAAATTTCATGCAATTAAAGTGAGTAAAAATTGTATTTCTGATCAATGTGCTGTAATTAAAATCTGTAGTTCTCATATGTACCACTTTCATAAATATTAATTTAAATGTTCCTCGTTCTAAAATTATACTTTTGATCAATTAAAGTTAGTAACACAAATGTAACAATTTTAAAAATAATTCTGATAAATTTAATATAATTAAAGGTATCTTCTATTAAAAATTCGTATTTCTGATAAATTTGATGTAATTAAAGTAGTTCAAATGTACCTCCTTTTAAAAAAATCGTAGTTAAAATATACCCTCTAAAAATCTTATTTTTGGGTAATTTGTGGTAATTAAAGTTAGCAGTTCATATGGCAGTCCAAATGTTTCTCGTTCTAAAATGTTACTTCGGATCAATTAAAGTGAGCAATTCAAATGATGATTTTGTGGTAATTAAAGTAAGTCGTTTAAATGCTACGAAATTTGCGATAATAGAGTTAGTAGTTTATATAATATTTATATAATTAGAAATGCATATATTCTGCGTTCAAAAATTGTACTTCTGATAAATTTCCAATAAATCAAGTGACTAGTTCAAATGTACCACTTTTTAAAATCCATTTTCTGATAAATTTGATGTTACTAAAGTAAGTAGTTCTTTAAAAATCGAAATTGTGATCAATTTACTGTAATTAAAGTTAGAAGTACCACGTACTAAAATTGTATTTATGGTTAATTGTCAATTTTTAAATGGAATAGTTCAAATAAACAACGTTAAAATATACGAGTATGTTTCAAATTGACCACTTTTAAAACCCATATTTCTGATAAATGTACAGTAATTAAAGTGAGTAGTTCAAATATACCACGTTTAAAAACCATATTTCTGATACATTTTCTGTAATTAAAGTGAGTAGTTCAAATGCACCTAGAGGTTCCAAAATATTTTCTATAAAAAGTACTGTTATTAAAGTTTGTAGTTCTACGTCTAAAAATGTGAGTATTTAAATGTACCCCTTTTTAAAAACGTAGTATTTAGTATTTCTGATTAGCTATCTAAACATGGCAGCGGCGTACGTACATTTTAAAATTTAAAACAGGTATTTTTAATAAATAATATTTTGCGCATTCGAGAACTGTTTTAATAAGTACATGTATTTTAAAAACACACCCTCTATTATCCACACAAGAAAAAACCTCTTTTATAACGAGATACATTTCGCTCGAATTCTGTCAAATTCAAAATATTACTAATCTGTACTGTTAGTATTAAAAAAAGTTTACCGCTCATACATTTCACAACATTTACACATCACTAATATCACAAATTACCCACACATTTCTCGTTAAAAAGAAGATAATTTCCTGATCTTAGTAGAATTTTTCAAAAACAAGAAACTTCTTTGGTAGTTTTAAAAAAGTTTTATCTTCTGGAGCCGTCACAGTAGAATATGGGGCACTTAAGCACAATTTCATCAATTTCACCCAAATCTGGGGGTAGATCAGATCTGGCAACACCGCACCGCATGTAAGTATGCCCAATAATTCTCCAAAAACTTATAATTAAACGGCAACGTCGATAGACATAACAGCGACCAAAATTAATTGTTTTTATGTCCTTCAATGTTTTTAATTAACAGTGACTGCACCAGAAGATGGAAAAAGTTTTTCCGAAACTAATTGACCAATCATACCAAAGAAATTTGATTTGTTATTGAAAAATTATTCGTTAAATAGTTAAAAATATTTACTATGCAGAAAACGCAACCCCTACAGAACTCGCAACGATGTCCCCCCAAATCATAACGCACCTACACGACGTCTTTTCAATTGGTCTCCACTTCCTCGTCGGAAAGCGCCGCCCGAATGTGTCTACTATAGTCGTACGTCATGACCTTGAGGGTGATAAACCCGCCGAAATATTTTCGGCCCTTGTGGAAGATGCCGGCGCCACTGAGCGGCACGGGTTGCAACGATTCCAATTTTTGGGCGTCCAAGAAGGGGACGGTCGTTTGGGCGGCGTCTCTGTCGATGTCCGAGTTGACGAGTTCGATGTACTCGTCCGATTTCGATGTGGGGATCGAGGGCGAGGTGGTTCGAGTGGGGATGTCTGGAGTGACCAACCATACTTTCTTTCTGGAAATTAAAATAACCCTATTTTGATTTTTAATGGCAATAATTGAAAAACAAGCGGAATCCAAGATTTTTTCGATGCGGCAACATCGCGCCATCATATTGTTTTAAAAATACGAATTTTAGATTTTTAATGGCATTAATTGAAAAATCCCCGGATCGCGCCGATTATTCATTTTAAAAATAGTAATTTTAACCTTCAATTGGGTGTTAAGAAGATGAAAGTTGATTTTAATTCTTACCTTGGGTTAGTAGTGGATGAATCGGTGTTTGAATTGTCCTTCCAAACGCTGGTACTAGTTGGATTGATAAGTTTCCCACTATCAAAATCGAATTTCGTAACGAATATTTCGAAATTAAGATGAGATCCTATTTCCTTAAATCTGACACCTGCAAAACAAAAACAAAATATATGTAAAAATCCATCACGATTTCTAATCATGTTCTTTTAATGCATTTGTTTATAACATCTCCGGCAAATTTGAACTATTGCACGAATTGGCAATCAATTTCCCAATAGATATTTAACTGAGAATAAAAAATCCCTATTATAATTATTTGTACGTTATAATGTATGATATATTTGAACTAATACAGCATAAGTAGGTATAAGAACATTGCACATTTTATCTTTTTGACCATGTATGAAACCAGTTACATAAGCCTTATGTTATGTAACGTGTGAATATTTGCAGGACGAGCAGAGCGAGGTCTAGCAACATAAATTTATACAGAAAATATATTTTTAAATTTAAACGATTAATTATATTATGAATGATATCTTTCGAGTTTTGTACATGATATATTTGAATTACTTGAATCAAATTATTCTAATCTTTGTTCTATAGTACATCGAGTACTATTTAAGATAGGTACGTAAGATGCGGTTCGTTTAAAAACTTTAAACTACTGTTCCAGTACATTTGAACTACTAACTCCACAAACAATTAATTAACCAAAATATTAACTTTCAATGAAAAAATTAATTGGCATTACTAATATCTGGGCGTTTTTAAAATTTAAATCCTTAAAATTGCAAGTTTTGTTTTTCCATTCTGCACTGAATTTAATGAAATTTAACGTTAGGTACATTTGAACTAAACCTCAACCAGCAATTTATCAACAAACAGCATTAAAATAATTAATATTACTGTTATTTGGACGCTTTTAAATATGCTACATTTCAACTTCTTCCATAAAAATCTTCAAAACTGAACGTTTTATGCTTTTATCAATTATGCTTTTATCAATTGTTTTTATTTAGCTCTGAACTTAATGAAATTTAAAGTACATTTGAATACTGTTCCAGTACATTTGAACTACTAACTCAACTAACAATTAATCAACAAACATATTAATATTCAATAAATAATGAATATTACTTTTATTTATGCGGTTTTGACTATGCTGTATTTAAGTTACTTCCATCAAACTCTTCAAAACTGCACGTTTTATGCTTATATCAATCTATGTTTTCACTCCGCCCTGAATTTAATTAACATTTAGCGTCAGGTATATTTGAACTACTGTTCTAATACATTTGAACTACTAACCCAACTAGCAATTTATAAACAGAAATATTAATTTTCAATAAAAAAAGTATTATTACTCTTACTTGGGCGTTTTAAATATGCTACATTTAAACTATTTCGATCAAAATTTTCAATATTGCATGCTTTATGCGTTTATCAGTGTTCTCATTACGTTCCGAATTTAACAAAATTTAATGTCAGGTAGGTAAATTAAAACTACTGTTCCAATACATTTGGACTACTACTTACTCAACTAGCAATTTGGTAATAAAATATTAATTACCTACTCTTAACTGGGCGTTTTTAAATATGCTACATTTAAACTACTTACATAAAAATTTTCAAATCTGCCTTTCCTGCTTTTATTAATTTATGTTTTTATTCCTCCCTGAATTTAATGAAATTTAACGTCAGGTAAATTTGAATTACTGTTCCAGTACATTTGAACTACTAACTCAACAAGCAATTAATCATTAAAAATATTAATTTTCAGTAAAAAAATAATATTACTCTTATTTGGCCGTTTTTATGTATGCTAAATTTGTTTATTTGAACTATTTTCATCAAAAGCTTCAATACTGCACGTTTTGTTCTTCTCAATTAATGGTGTCATTCCGCTCTGAATTTAAATAAATTTAACTTTTAGTACATTTGAACTACTATTAGCCTCATTTTAATACGTCTCTTTATACAAAAAATCCTATTCGATATACGTTTGAACTACCTCTGAAGTATCAAAATTGCATATTTTGTCATGCGAATTCTAATGAAATTTGACGCCCAATACAATTAAACTACTCGTGGTACTGAAGATGGTAACCTCATTATAGAAACGTTTTTTACCTGTTAATACGTGCCCTTCATCCGCTTCTAAATCGTCCAAATCCACAGCCCTCTTTTCCCAACTAAACGTATGATAGTCTTGTCCATTGTAGATTTTCCTATCGGTTATTTTATAATCTTCCACGGGTACCCATCTCACGGTGCTGGCATCTATGTTACCTCTAGGCAGTAGTTTTCCCTCTTGGATTTGTATGTGGATGATCCGATTCTTTTTAACGAATCTCAAACCAGTAACAACCCTAAAATACGTTTTTTAGACAGTAAGTACTTGACAGTACGGTTGAAATTGCACTTACATGTTACTGCTTAGGTTGGAGATGGCAGGTCGCATGTTGACGTATCTGTCGGAATTGCTGCTCTGTTCGTCGCATAAACAGAAACAGTACGAACAGTGCCAAAAGAGCCACCTCCACCAGCTGTCGACTTTGTTGGTACCGTGTTGGCAACTCTGCTTTCTACCCAACACTCTACCGTTCTCGTATTCGATGTATTCGTATCTTCTACCGCTCAATGGGTCCTAAAACCAACCAAATAATAAATATGCGAAGAATGTGAGTGGTTTTAACCTACCGCGGGACAAATCCACATGTCAGAATCGAAATATCTGCAATCCAGGATTTTGCCGTTGCATCGCCTTTGCTGTCTGCAGTATTGGTTCCCAAAGCAACCGTGACTTTTGGTGTAGGCATATTCAGCGCAATTTTCCCTGCAAGTACCTTCTGGATTCAGATCGACCTCGTTCTGGACGTATCCTTGCAATAGTTGAGTAATCTCTTCATAGGTTTCGCCTGAAAATATTTTAAGTACTTGAATAAGACCGACAAGACAAATGGGTGCAACTTTTGCATGAGTGTATAACATTTAGAAAATTGTCGTATACACGTACTGATCCGATTATCCCATATATTATTATAATTAACTGTACTAAAGAGTTGGTAAACACTGCGTATATTTATAAAATCTTTCAAATATCTGATTAATGTTTTAACTAGCTGTTTGGAGAGTAAATCCCATTTCATGTATACAAGAATAACTAGGTATTTAATTGAAGATGATTCAGAAAGTTTTACATTCAATTCTATCTTCAGAGGACCCAAATTAGGAAAACCTGTAATTTAGGAAGAAAATGGCAAGTATTTTTTTTGAATGTAAGTAGGTAGGTATTCAAAAACAACCACATAAATATGCGGCTTGATCTGAGTACTAATGCAGCATTGCTCTATAACGCTGAAATCGATTACATCACCCCCTTGTGATCACTTTGGTTTACAGTACATAGATAATAATTATTAGAGATGGGAATTTTTAAATTTATATTAATATTATAATAAGGTTTTATGTTAATTATTCATTAAAAAAAAGTTCAATGCACCAAAATACTATAATACTATGTAATGTATTTCTTCTAATTTCAAAATTTATTTATTTTTTTTGTGAGCATCTTAGGGGTAATTTTGAATGTTTACAACTAAATCAAGATAACAAATAATATTAATTTAAATTTTCAGAATTGTAGAGGGTTAAATACGAAAACGTTGGAATTTTGCAGAAATTCTTCAGAAGGTAACTATGATATAATTATTGCGGTTGAGACTTGGCTTCATGAGGGGGTAGTAGATGGTGAACTTGTTGATTTAACTGTATATAACTTAATAAGAGCGGATAGGGATCGAATGGTTACAGGTAAGTCTAGAGGTGGTGGTGTACTTATTGCCATAAAGAAACAGCATAAAATTTTATCATTTGTTCAACAAAGGTCTTTATGTGAAAGTCTAGTTGTTGAAGTAAAAATAAATAATAAATTTAAATGTATTATTATGGGAGTATATATACCTCCTGATCTTAATTTAAACCATTATATCAAATGCTTTGAATATTTACAAGAATATGTAAAAGATATTAACAATACATTCATTTTTGGTGATTTTAATATTCCAGAAATCCAGGGTACAAATATTGCAATGTTGAATAATATTAGCCCCAAACTAAATACTTTAATGTATTTTTTAAGTTTTAATTCATTTTCTCTATTTAATTGTATAAAAAATTTTCAGAACAAGACATTAGATTTAATAATAGGTGCCACTGAAAACTTAAATAATTGTAACGTATACCGGGAACAGTTACCTCTAGTACCCGAGGATATGTATCACCCATCTCTGGCAATAGACATTTCGTTTAATAAAACAAGGTATAATGACACTGATAAATTAACTGAAAATAAATACAATTTTAAGAAAGCCAACTTTGATTTAATGAGTGTAATGATGAGGGACATGGATTGGAGTGACGTTATCGAAAATTCAGATGTAAATAACGCATTGGATATCTTTTATAAAAAAATTTATAATGTGTTTGATTTTACTGTACCTAAATACAAGGTTTATAATAATTTTAACAAATATCCTAGGTGGTTTACACGGGAAAGAAAGCAATTAATTAAAGAAAAAAATAATTATAGAAAATTAAAGGGAATTTCTACTTATTACAGCGATAAATATATTGAGATGAGAAGAAAAGTAAAATCGTTAATAAACGTCGAACATAAGAAATACTTACAGCAAATCGAACAAAGTATAGATTCAAATATAAATAATGTCTGGACTTTTGTTAATAAAAAAAAGGGCAATGGTAACCAATTAGATAAATTTAAATGGGATGGTAACGATATACCTGAGGGAGAAGTAGCTAATAAGTTTGCAGAATATTTTGCAGCCACTCACTGCGCTGAAAAGGCAAATTATAATATTGATTTATTGAATTTAGTAAACACTACTATATTAAATATTCCTAACATAGATGAGAACGATTATAAAATGGCTTTGAAAAAATTAAAACCGAAAAAAGCTGCTGGACATGATGCCATACCCCCATATATTATAAAAGGTTGTAATATTTAAAAATACCGTTAATTCATATATTTAACTTAATTTTACGGTCTGCATCTTTTCCAGAAATGTGGAAACTGTCAACTTACACTCCAATTCACAAATCGGGCAGTAAGAGTGACATAGAAAATTACAGAGGTGTAGCAATTTTGTGTGCTCCTTCTAAGATTTTTGAGCAGGTTCTACATTCATATTTATATAATCACATTAAAAACAAAGTCATAGACCAACAACATGGATTTGTTTCAGGCAGATCGATCGATACAAATTTATTATTGTTCACGGAATCGGTAACTAATGTATTTGACCATAAATCACAGTTAGATGTCATTTACACGGACTTTAAAAAAGCTTTTGATAAGGTTAATCACACAATATTACTAGAAAAATTGCACAATTTTGGTTTATCCGCTAATTTATTAAAACTTTTGAGTAGCTATCTGCAAAATAGAAAATTTTTGGTGAAATTTAATGGAAACACTTCAGGGAAGTTCTATGCGAACTCAGGGGTTCCACAAGGCTCTAATTTAGGCCCAATTTTATTTATTATGTTTATTAATGATATTTCTAAAGTTGTCTCATACTCTAAATTTTTATTGTTTGCAGATGACTTTAAGATATTTAGAAAGATTCAAACTGTTAGGGAGTGTGTGTTGTTACAAAAGGATATGATTAATGTATTTAATTGGAGTATAGAAAATAAGTTAAGTTTTAATGTGAGCAAATGTTGTGTTATGTCCATTTCTCGAAAAAAGAATTTGATAAATTTTGATTATACCATTGGTCAGGAGACTTTAATTAGATCTGCTGAAGTTAAGGATTTGGGAATAATCTATACCAACGAGCTTTCTTTTATTAAGCACATCCAAAAATCAGTGTTAAGTGCTAATCGTACACTAGGATTCATCCTTAGGCAGTCGTTTAATTTTTCAAAAATAAAAACAATAAATATGTTGTACAATACCTTAGTTAGACCAAAACTTGAGTTTGGATGTGTTATTTGGGGTAATCAATCGCAGGTGCATTTGGATTCGATAGAAAAGGTGCAAAATAAGTATCTCCGTTATTTTTATTTTAAAAAATATCATCGTTGGCCGGATTATACAACTGTAAGGACAGCTAGACTACGCAAAGAATTTGAAATTATATCACTGATAAGTCGACGTAAGTTAACGATGATGATGTTTCTATACAAATTAATTAATAATATAGCATCATCTGCTGATTTACTGTACTTAGTACCATTTAAAGTCCCATCAGTAAGCACTCGTTTGAAATTGTTATTTGGAAAAATGAGAGTGGGTTACTGTTCTCCTCTGGAAGCCATGTTGCAACTAGCTAATATTATTAACACAACTACTGATATTGACTTTACGATACCTCTGAGGCAATAGCAATATAAGAAAACAATATTTATTTACATAAATATTTTTGGCGTAGACTGAAAAATTTCTGTAAAATTCTTGCATTTCTACATTTTTATTAATTTTATTAATTTTTATATATTTATTTATAACATTTAATATTAGGCTTTTATTTACTAGAATGTGAGTGAGGATCATACATAGGTAATTATTTAAATATATATATAATGTAAACTATTAATTATAAATAAGTATTCCTGTAATTAGGTTGTAAAACCTGTTGGAATATTCAATAAATAAATAAATAAATATAAGCGTAAATTCATAGCTAATAAAAAATTTCCACCAGAGAAGCGATGCTCCCATTTAAAAATATAGATGATTAATTAGTCAGTTAAAAACATAATACAGTTGCACATATTAGGAAATCAACAGGTATGTCTCAAACCATCGTCCATTTTCAGATTCTGAGTCGGATTCGACATTATTTAATAATGGGAAAAAAGTAGGCACTGCAATTTCCAATGCCGGTATTACCCAACTCCTGAGAAATCGCTACTCACCTTTTATGTGTCTTTTGGGGTCACAGTTCCAATACTGCCTAGACGCGTCCGCCATCGATTTTTTTACAATCTCCATAGCACTGTTGGTTCTTTCTTCGAACCGTTGGCGCATTATTTGTGATTCGGTCGTAAAATTACCTGAAAATAAGTTGAATCGTTCCATTCATATAAAGTGTTCCAAATTTTAGCTAGGTAGCTATATTGGTAGCTATTGGTAACTATACGAGTTATAGGGTTGGTTAAATATGAGAAGTTTTACGTAAACAGATTGTTAGTTTAGATCCACTTTCAAAATTCTTAATTTTTTGCTGGTTTTTGGTATAAAACAACATCAGGTCCGCATTAAAAAAAGTTAATTATTAAATTTTGAACAAATTTATAGGGGACCACCTCTGAGGTATCCCTTTACTAACAAAAAAGAATCGTAGAAATCGGACAAGGTGGTAAAGAATTACAGCTACACATACATGTATATAAGAAATAAATGTATTTTATTATTTAATAATGCATGCAATTAAAATAAACAACTAATCAGCCAGCCAAAAATAGAGTCTTACCTTTCACGTACAGGGCTTTCCTTGTGGAGTGTAAGATATCTAAGGAGGCGTTAATATTCTATAAAAAAAATATCCATGCCACATACAAGTTCGCTTATGTGGTCGTCACATGTTTATTGACACACTGTATTTTGAAACTGTTTTTTTTTATTGTAAATTTATTGATGTAAATAAACATTATATTATTATTATTATTATACATTAAAAATGAAGAGTTTGAGGATTTTCTAATGGACCCAATTATTAAATTTTGACCAAATTTATAGGGGACCACCTGTGAGATTTTGACCAAATTAATATGGGACCACTCCTGAAGTATCCCATTTCCAACAAAAAAAGAATCATTGAAATCAGACACTGTGTTAAAGAATTATCGCTGAACATACATAAAAAAAATACGACGAGAACTTCCTCTTTTTGATTTTGCGATTGTCCGGTTCGGCCGGTAACAATTTAAAATTACTTATTCTATGAAATAGCACTGGCAGGTAAACATTACCGCGAAAGTCGTCCGAAAGGTTTTGACGTCTACCCCCCACCTACCAAAAGCCTCTCCAATTTCTGTCCCTGCTATATCTAAAGTGTCGACGAGAAGTGTTCACAGAATTCTTAAAACTTTAAAGAAAATGAAGGTAAATCTAATAATTTATCTAAAGGCATTGAAACCCGAGGAATACCCGTTTCTTTTTAAAATATTTCGTACCCGTATCTTTTTCAAGGCAACTTTAGCGGCAACTTATTGAAAAGGTGTAGCTTCAGCTAATGCACAGACTTGCGTTTCCCTAATTTCTCGTTCTTCTGTCAATTGAATTCGACGTGGTTGCCTAGAGAGACAACACTCTTTGCAATTATTAATGCAGCAAAAATTTTCAAATTTTGTTATAATTGCATGAACTGCATTATCTGCAGGAATTGTTTTATTTTCACTTCACTACCTATTTGTATTTTTTCACGAGTGGTATAAATAACATTCGGCATATTAATACCTAGTTATTTTAAAACGAAAATCAGAATCTATTGTTTACCTTTACGCGCTATGGACTCCATCTTGTATATACTGACTTACTGTATTTGGTTTGCATGTCGGAGTCGACGGATGAGGTCGCGATCGGTCGGCGACGCGAAGAATAGTGGGGTTACCAACCCCCTACGCTTTCTCTCTCTTATTATCGCTTCATATAAATAGTCTTCTTTCTGTTGCTCTTTATAGTTTTGCCCTATACCCAAGAAAAATTTAAGCCGAATCTGTATATAATTTTTAAGTTGGATATGTCTGGACTTCTTTATAGCTTCGTATAACAAACCCTAAACTCCTGTTAGCAGCAGATAACATCTCAATATTTTTAAACAAAGTTAGTTCAGGGTGAAAATAAATTCTGAGGTCTCTTATGAATTCGGGTCGATTTAGAATAACGTTCTGTAGTTTGTAATCCAAAATTATAGGTTTCACTTTTCAAGTAAAATACATTACAGAACATTTCTCAGTATTTAAAGGAAGTTAATTATCGAGACACCACTTCGCAATGTCGGACAGACACTAATGAAGATGTAAACAATAGTTACCAGAATTGATTTGAAGTAATACTTTTAGGTCGTCGAACACATTAAAACTTTATTATGGTCGATGTTAGTGACTATAACGTTTATAAAAATAATGAATGACAGAGAACCTAAAATTGACCCCTGCGGGACTCCTGATGCTTGCTCTAATTTTTAAGACCTGAAATTTAGAAGTCAGCTTATGAAGTAAAATGTAATGAACAATTTTATCGAAAGCCTTAGAGGAATGTGTATACAGTGTGTTAAAAAAAAAGTGTCACAAAATGAAATGGTGAATAGTATGACCCAAAATAAGCAGAAAAGTCTTAATAAATATATGACCGCAAATTAACGGTTTCGGAGATACGGACCATTTTGTGTTTATAACAATTTTTTATTATTATAAAAAAACAATGATATTTATAAACAATCAATAACAACATAGAGTTAAATGAGATGTTCAAAGTGCCCTCCCTCCATTTCAATGCATTGCCATTTGCACGACCGTACATAAAATGCATGTCAGCTAATTCAATATTAGTGTAAACAGGCATAACGAAAATTTATAAAATTATTCACCCACAACAAAATAATAACTGCAAATAGTATCTATGAAAAAACATCGGTAGACTCCGATAAGAAAAGCAAGTTTTTGAGAATGAAAAAAGATAATCAAAAAATGATACAAAACACAAAACACTCCGTATCTCTGAAACCATTTCTTTTCTGCATATTTTGGCCCATACTACCCCCCGTTTTATTTTGTGACACTTTTTTTTAACACCCTGTATATTACATTAACTTAACTTCTATCCAAGGTGTTCGAAATGAATTACGTCGGAAAAACAAGCTTTGTAACTGTAGATCTATTTTTCATGAATCCATTAACAATTTTTGAAGGTAGATACAATCCTATAACTTTTACATTTACCGAACTTCCAATACATCGAGTTAAAATTTGGAACAATCTGTATAATTACATTTATAAATCGCCTTACCTTTGTTGTACAGTCTCAGTAGCATATACGAAAACTGTATCATGGAGTAGCCCTTCAACTCTGTTAGAGCAATTGCGTTATATAAGTTGTACAAAACTTGTTGCGGTGATTGTTTCGAGTTGCACAACATGTCGCCTTCAACTTCCTGAAAAATCTTATACAATTTTAATATATTTGACATTTTTAAATTGTACAAAGTTTGATTAAATATTGAGGATTTATTTAATAAAGTTAATATACATCAAGTGTATGCACATGCATGAACTATAATTAACGTATCAGACCAGTCATTAAAGATAATCAATTCACATTAATTACAAAAGTTTTGAAACTTTGTTGGAATAATTTTTAAATTAAAATAATAATAAATTTAATTTTGCAACTTTTTCTGAGGAACGGAACTTATTAATAACTGCAAAAATTAAAAATGTATTACAACTAAAATCATAAAACGGCTACAAACTGTTATTTTCAAAATTTTTTGCAACTTTTTTCGCTACATGATTATTTTTTGTAAAATAATGTTTTTTTTATATCATAGATGAAAAAAAAAAAATTGCAAAAGCGCTGCAAACCAATTTGCAATCTTTTATTTTGCACGCAAATATTTTTTTTGTTAAAAATTGGCACAACAGATGTTTATTTGTCTCTAATTTTGCCAAAAAAAAAAGGAAAAAGTTTTGAAAATTAGTTGCAAATTTACAACTTCGGACAAGGTCCGCGATCTTAAAAAAATAACAAAAATCGACAATAATTGGTACTTTTTGTAAAATTTTCAGAGCTACTTAAATGCCTTCCTATAAGTAAATGCAAATTTGCAAAGCTTCAAGATTAGCGCAAATTATTGTTAATTGTTTATGGTAAATTTTGTATAGTGTTGCAAATCTCAGGAAACAACTAAAAAATAAATTCACAAGTAATATAGAATTTGCAACCTTACACCTATCATGCAAATATTTAAATAATTTCTTGTTTATCGCTTTGCGGAGAAAGCTATGGCGCTTTAATTTAATATAAAATTCTGAACTTGAAAATGGGATTTCTAACAAATAACAAAAAGGAACGGTCAGAGAAATGTCCTGAGGTTTAACAAACCGATCGATCTTGTCCCATTTAAATAAGTTACATCAGGCCAACGTAGATGAACCAAATATTTTTATGTCTGAACATCGTGGTCTATACGCCGTTAAATTATACTTTAAACACTTTTATAAATGCATATTTAATGCAGATATGGTGACAAATAGTTCTCATTTACAAGAAAACTACTCCAAGAACAAGAATTTTGAATGACTATAAAATTTGGAAAATCTTTAATTTTATGTAATTTTTCTAGATCTGCTTAAACATTGCCGAAATTCTTCTGAAATGTCGTTATTATGTTTTAAGTGAAGAGTTTGTCTCATTTGTAACAGATCATCATCACTGGTTTTAGCTAATAACACTTTCGGATCTGAACATCTAAAATAGCCGTATATACTCGTATTTCTCTTGGATTTGATTTATGGCAATATCTAACATTTTGTAGAAAGTGTTTACTCTAAATCGATCTTCAGAAGTCTTAATAACAGAGTGATTAGATATTCCACCAAAAAGTTTTTTTTTTACTCGAGAAATAAGTTTTTATTCAAGTTTAGTTGTAATTTCCAATTTGTAAGCTAAATTGACAGCTTTATTTTTAATTTCCTCAAATCTATCTGGAAAGACTTTTAAATTTTCGAATAGAACAATAAATATTTGTTCTATACCTACATGCATATTACCTTATCTACGAACAGATTACAAAATGAAAAAGTATACTATTGCCTTCAACTGAACGAATATATTTCATATCCATTCTAGATAGCGAGAACACTGCAAAAAAATGAAATCCGCCAATCACCGTTCATATTTTGATCAACCGACTGCTATTATTTTTAAAATTTTAAATAAGTGACAATTCTGTCAAACTAATTGTCAGTATATTTTTGTGTAGAATCAATAAATAATAGCATTTCTTTTTTTATTTCGTCTATAATTATAAATAATTTGCTAATTTAAATAAAATTATATGAAGTCAATTTATTTAATTAATTAAAGCAATAATAATAAAAGAGTAGGTGATCTTGTGGTTAGCGTTCTTGCCTTCCACGCAGAGGATTGGAGTTCGATTCTCGGATGGGGAAAAATGAAATCAACTTTTTACCTCTTTTTTTTCGTTTATTTTATTTTAAAAATTATTAAAAGTCATGCTCAAATTTCGTCTTCGTGCGATATGGCCATCATATCCACTCTTGTTGCACAAACTACTATTACTACCGTTTTGGATATCTTCATGTTTGCTTTGTAGCATCTTATGGCGGGTACAGATCTGAGCACGTACGCGTATGCGGCAAGCTGAGGCCGAACCGAATGCCTCGTGCAACGCATTTTGTATACACGAATGGAGGACACACGAGGCGCTATTCGCCACTGATCCAGTAAATTCGCGAGCACGCAACCGTATACCTAGAACATTTGTAAAATTAAAACAAAAATGAAAGATGAGTTTAGTGCATGTTTTATTATTTTATCCGACACATTAAAAAAAAAGGAGAGAAAGGAATCGATGGCCGATTTCCTGCTAAAGATATTATTTTTTTATGGTTTTTATGGTTTTGCTCTCTTAAGATATCACGCTGATTATTTAAATCCAGGAGAAGCAAACCGTTTTCCTGGTTCCACTCCATGTAAAATAAATCCTAAAAACTCGCTATAATCTGTACGGTTACAACTTCTCCGTCCAGACTGAGCACGTACTGCGCATTGCCTCCCTTTGATGTACCGCAAACAAACGGATCGGGGCGAGGCCGTATGGCACACACAACGAGGCAATTTGCCGCGCCTCGGAAGCCCGTCCATATCTGCATGCTCATGCGTCCTTGGCTTGCCTCATACGCGTACGTGTTCAGATCTGTACCCGCCTTTAGATACAGGTAGCGTCTGTTGCATTACAAAATTTTATCTCTAGTACAATCCAAAAAATTACTTAAAATTTTTCTAATCTGCCTTTAATTAACTTAGTCCCTTAATACCTACAACAATTTTGTACCTTACGCCAATAATACATATTCAAAACAAAAAATAAAATGGACCTTGAAAAAAATTCTACCACAGCCAAAAACTGTTACTATTTCAATAATTATTTCATGAAAAAATTGTGATAGGTACACACCTTCATATATTTAGTAAGTTTTACTTTTATTAAATAACACATAGGTACAGAACGACAAACGATCGGGATTTAACATCTTTCGATTAAAGTATCGATCCCCCAGCAGTTCATTCTGCATAGTTTTTAAAATGACTAAGTACAAATTATTTCAATCGCTTGTTTTGAGGCTTTAGCCGGGTCGCCGATCCATTAAAAGTACTATTGTAGTTACGCAACTGGTGATTGCCTACTGTTTGTTATTAGATTTTTATTATTTTAAAAATTATGGAAATGATGGACATTTTTCTGTAAATGACGTGTTCTAAAAAATAATGAACGACAGGGCTCTTGTAGGTACCTACAGTTTTGATCATAAGACCAAGTAAATAACAGAAAATTATTAGATGACCCACAAGAATGACGTCGTGTTTAATAAGAAAGTTATATTTGTAACTTTTTAAAATTATGATTGTATTGATTATTGATAAAACAAGGAAATGGAAATCGATATTTTGTTACCAAAGAAATTCATTATTCGGTATTGTGGTTGGTCCCGCTTCAAACAAAATCGAAATATTTTTTGATTTTCACAAAACTGAAAACGAATAAGTTTCTCAAGGGAAATAATATTCAAATTAAGGTACTATAAAATTACTATTTTAATGCAATAAAGTGGGTAAATAAAGTTACAAAAACATTCTTGAAACCGGATGGTTGAAGGATTGTCAGAAACAAATTCATCGTTTCTTGAAATCGGATATATTTTTATCTAAATAGTCTATTTGCAACGGTATTGGGTTAATTTTTTGTTCTAGACTCTGTTTATGATATTGATTTTTTTTTCTCCTGGGCATTAGCCAATTATTTAACTCTTCACACAGTAGTCTGAGTATTATAGGTTTAATCTGTCTGTCCGACCGATGTCACGTTTTTTGTCCGCATGATAAGTCAAAAAGGATAAATGATATCAACTTGAAAATTTCAGAAAAAATCAAGCTCTATAACGGGACGAAGTCTATTAATTTAAAAAAAAAACCCAAACAAAAATGAGGGGTTTAAGGGCGGTTAAAATATTTAAAAAAATCCTATTAAAATGGAGGGTTATGAAGGTTGAAATTTAAAAAAAATCATAAATCAAAAAGGAAGAGCCCTAATAACACCGATCTGCCAGAAACATCCCATTTAGGTTCCATGTTTGTTTCTATGTTTCTGACATAAATGGTACATCCCTACGATGTCTCTAAAGAAACGTTTCTGGAATGATATCTCAAGAACGTTTTAGAAACATAGTATTTATGTATAGGTATTTTATTTTCGTTTTAAATATTATTTTGAAATTTTTGAAATTATAAAATTACTGCAATCACCATAAATCTACAATAATATCAAACTATAATATTAAATTTGAACATTTTGAACAATATTTTTATTTCACTTATTTCCTTCAAAATAGAATGCAAAGCAAATACGACAGAGATGAATTTATCCTTCCTTTTGATTCAACAGGAGAGAAAAAATACACTATTGACAGAAGCCCTCGTGATGGAATCTATTTATTTGCATTGAAAGTGCAGCACTGAGCTACAGTACTTATGAAACTGTCTTTCATTTATACAAATTGTATGGATGGAACGATATTTTAGATGAAAAGGAATAGCCAAAATGAAGAAGATAACTTAATTTCCTTTAACAAAATGTGGCTTTTATACATTCTAGTCATTATTTATTTATTTGTTAACTTTAAAAATAACTATTTTAGGTATTGTATTTTAAAATCCAAGGTAGCAATAATGTATGTGAATTTATTAGAAGATACATAGCTCCCCTCAAGGTACGAGTTGTGTAAGTTGTTTTCATGCACTGGAAAAAAGGAAGTCGCCAAGTTAAAAATAGCTAAAGCCAATATGGGTAATTATTTTAACTTAATATCAATTGTTTATATTGTCATTTAATTAAAACATTTTCAGATTAGG